GGAACTTCATTAAAATATTCCCAAACTGGGTCTCTTTTACGGCCTGCTGCCATTATAGGTTTTCCCTTCTAATGAGAGAATGGTATAGTAGATCTCAAATCAATGAAGGCTACACTCAGAAAGACCTCAAGACTTCTGGAATATGCTGCTCAAACAGTTTCACTTTTGTTTCTACTGCCTATTCCTCCATTCTCACATTTATCTCCAGACTTCTTCTCCTTGTCCAGATCTATTCTGCCCCCAAAAATCTTCTATTCATTGAACTTTTTGAAACTTTGTACTTTTAGAGAGAGATAAGGGATTGACGCTGTGTACACAAATTTGCAGAAGGACAATAGGGTTGAGGTCTGTTATTTCTCACCTCTATATATTATTTATTTATTTATTTATTTATTTAAAAACATTTTTGCTGTTAACAAGCATGTTATCTTTGGATAGTTCGGAGTTTGAGAACTGCAAAACTAAGCATCTGGTGGTATCTTCTAGACTGAGCATGGAGTCCCATTGGGTAGATAGAAAGATTAACCTAAATAATCTATACAGAAGCTCCTGGAACCCCATAAAATTGGGTCTCTAATCCATGAACTATTGGAACTCATTTACAAAACTTTTCTTCAACATTACATGAATATATTGCCTCATACTATAGAATTGAATTTATAATCTCTGTTCCATGATGAGATATCTTTGAGCTATAATGTATCTTAATTAAAACTATCTTTAGATAGGTTTTCTCCCCAAGAAGCATTTTATCAAAAAAATCCAATTTAAATAAAAAAAATCAGATTTTTTTTTTTTAATTAAAATCATTGATTTTTATCCACCCTGATTTTTCATCAGACACTTCTGGAGTTTGTATAAATAAGAAAACAAAGAAAAATTATTCACTCTACCAGGTTCAAATTCCATAATGTCCAGAACTGCTAGATGCTTTACAGAACAAATAAAAGTATTACATGTTCATTGCCCCAAAGAGCTCACACTTTAATTTTTTATTTGACTTGAGGAGTAAGAGGAAAGGAGTAGGACAAGAGTTACTATGAGAATAACACATGGTTACTTAAGGCTTGTCCACACATGGAGTTATTCCCATCAGCTAGTTGTTCGGGGCAGGAGGGTTGCAGAAAGCAGGATTGTGTCTGTATGATACACGTACCATCACGTGCCTAGTCTGAGCGGCAGAACGGGGTTTTTTGATTGCCTCCCTCACTTCACGGGAATCTGCCTCAGAGATCTCCACGAAACTCTCATTGAGATACTGGGCAATCTGCTGCCGCAGGTTCTTTGGCAGAGCTGCTTTGTTTCTTGCCCCATTAATGGTAACTTTCCCACGCCACTCTGCCATCACGGGGGGATGGGGGGAACCGTTGCTGCACACAGGTGAGCTGCATAAGGGCCAGGGTGGAAGTCGCAGTTTTGGAGAAGACCCTCCCTTGATTCCCTGCTCACCCTCAGCAGCGAGATATCTTCCATAATTAACACAGCCTGGGGAAAATGTGTGGACAGTAATGATTATAAGCGCCCCTCCCCTCCCCCCAGTGCTGGCTCTCCCCAAGAGCTATGTGCGCAGTGTACAGTAGAGTCCTGGAACACTAATTTCCCCTGCCCCTGCAATTACTCACCTTTCTGGGGGTCTTGTGGCTCATGTGTGCTTGCCTGGGGTCAGCCTGTGTTTTAAATCACTGAATCAGTGGTCTGTGTGTTGTAAACAATACTGCTTCTGTAAAATGTTGGCAGAATTAGAAAGTGGCCATGAAGAACTAAAGAGGACTATGGTCATCGGCCAGGTCCAGCCTCCTATATAGGCAGCGCCGGCAGGCCTTTAAATGGTCAAAAGCACACTCAATAGTCACTCTGCACTGCCTCAGCCTGTTGTTGAACCGCTCCTTGCGGCTGTCAAGGTGCCCTGTGGATGGCTTCATAAGCCACAGTACTAAGGGGTAGGCAAGGTCTCCCAGGATCATAATGGACATTTCAACTTCCTCTACTGTGATCTTCTGGTCCGGGAAGAAAGTCCCTGCTTGCAGCTTCCTGAACAGGCCAGTGTTCCGAAAGATGCATGCGTCATGCACCTTTCCAGACAGCCTGCATTAATGTCAGTGAAATGCCCACAGTGATCCACAAGCGCCTGGAGAACCATTGAGAAATACCCCTTCCAATTAATGTACTCGGTGGCTAGGTGGTGTGGTGCCAGAATTGGAATATGCGTGCCATCTTTCGCCCCTCCGCGGTTAGGGAAGCCCATTTGTGCAAAGCCATCCACAGTGTCACAGACCGTGACTCTGGGAAACGTGTTTCAGAGCAGGATGTGATTAATGGCCCTGCACACTTCCGTCAACTCACATCCAACGGTCAACTTTCCCACTCCAAACTGGTTAGTGACCAATCGGTAGCAGTCTGGAGTAGCCAGCTTCCACAGTGCAATTGCTACGCGCTTCTCCAATGGCAGGGTAGCTCTCGTTCTCGTGTCCTTGCGCCGCAGGGCTGGGGCGAGCTCATCTCGCAGTCCCATGAATGTGGCTTTCCTCATCCGAAAGTTCTACAGCCACTGCTCGTCATCCCAGAGATGCATGACGATGTGATCCCACCACTCAGTGCTTGTTTCCCAAACCCTAAAGCGGCGTTCCACTATAATCAGCACCTCTGTGAATGCCACAAGAAATCTCCTGTTGTAGCTAATGCGCGTGGCAAGATCCGTGTTGAACTGCTTTTGCTTTTGTAGTTTAAGGAATAACTCCACTGCCACTCGTGATGTGTTAGTGAGAGCGAGCAGCATGTCAGTCAACAGTGCGGGATCCATTCCTGCAAACCGAAGAGGCAGAGTGCGCAGTACACAAACCATTGAAAGATGGCGCCAAATGCGGACAGAAGCACAGAGATTACTGGGATGCAAAGCAATGCATCACGGGGCATTGGGACAGGACCCAGGATGCCCTGCGTCCCCCTCCGCCTTCCCACAACTCTTAGCGGCAGAAGAGGAAGAGATGCTCTTTTGGATAGCTGCCCAGCATGCACTACTCCAAATACCACTGTAAATGCCGCCAGTGTGAACACGCTATTGCACAGGCAGCTGACAGTGTGAACACACAACAGCGGTTTCCCTTCAGTGCTCTCTGAGTGGCGCTGTAACTGCCAGCGATGTAACTCTGCCAGTATAGACTACCCTCAGTGTCACCCCTAAATACAAGGTGGAACAGCTTGTTTAGCATAAGTAGTTAACAGATTTCAAGAGACCATTCAAGGTGAAGTGGCCAGTTAACACCTCTTCAGTCATAGGTGGGAAAGGAGAAAAAGAAAAGCTGAGAGCCAGTCTGTTATTGATTGTTGTAATAAGCCATAAATCCAAGTGTCTCTATTCAGTCCAGGGTTTTTAGTATCTAGCAGTTACGAATTTAAGCTCCCAGGCTGATCTCTTGCAGGTTTCCTTTGAGGATGAGAACTGAGAAGTCAGATATAGAGTGCTTTGTGAAAAGTATTCACTCACAGGTGAGACGGTGTTTTTGGCCTGGTCTACACTAGAAAATTAAGTCGGTGTAACTACATCACTCAGATATGAAAAATCCACACCCCTGGATGGCGTAGTTAAGCCGACCTAACCCTCAGTGTAGAGAGCACTGGGTTGAAGGAAGAATTCTTCCATCCGCCTAACTACTGCTGCTCAGAGAGGTAGATTGCCGACAGTCCTACAATGATGGGAGAACCCCTCCCGTCAGAATAGGTGGTGTCTACACTAAAGCTCTACAGCAGTGCTGCTGTGGCATTTCAAGTGTAGACAGGCCCTTTGTATAGTGATTGTCTTGTTTCACCCACATAATTATTAGGGCATTTAATGCACTGAATGAGGCACAACACGTTTTGTGATCGGCATGTGTAGGATCCATGGCTCTTGAAAGGTATGTTGGGGTGTGTGGATCATTGTAGCAGTGGAGATATGTCTACAAGTTTTACATCTGTTGTTCTGGCAGGTTCTGGTGCTGCTTTGAGGTGATGTCCCCTGGCCTGTGGGGAGCTTGCTTCTGATGATGAGGTTGGAGGGTTTGTTTGAAGGCCAGAAGAGGGAGTTCAGGAAAGATTTCTTTCAGGATATGGTCCCCATCAGATATCTTGGCACGGGGTTAGACTAGACAATTCTTGTGGTCTCTTCTGACCCTATGGTTCTATGATTCTAAGTATGGATTGTAATTGTTTAATGATACTCTGTATAGGTTCCAAGATGATATAGTTTGTGATGACTACGAGGGGGTTTTGTCTCCATACTGAAGCAGGTTGTCTTGGGGTATTTGAGTGGCCTGTTCCATGATACAATCTACTTCTCTGGTAGAGTGTCTTTGGTGAAGGCATTTTTAAGTGTGTTAAGGTGTGTACCCCAGACTTTCTCCTCAGAGCATATCTGAGTTCCTGGCTAGGTGAGTTTCTTGGTGAGTTTGGGGTGGTTACTGGGTCTGTGAAGGTAGGTGTGGCGATTCATGGGTATTTTGTGGAATTTTTTGGAAACTGCATGGCATGAAATTGTTTATTAACAAATGGGTTTACGTTGCAATTTAACGTCCTTGTTCTGCAGAAATTAAGACATTATAATATGTGTCTTTTTTTTTTTTCATCTTAGTCTTTCCATGGTTTGGCTTGGATATTGGAGGAACCTTGGTCAAGCTTGTTTATTTTGAACCAAAAGACATCACTGCTGAGGAGGAGGAGGAGGAAGTGGAAAATCTTAAAAGTATCCGAAAATACCTGACCTCAAATGTAGCCTATGGATCTACAGGCATTCGGGATGTGCACCTGGAACTAAAGGACCTTACCCTGTGTGGACGTAAAGGCAATCTGCACTTTATACGCTTTCCTACTCATGACATGCCTGCTTTTATTCAAATGGGCAGCGAAAAACACTTCTCAAGTCTCCACACTACCTTATGTGCCACGGGAGGTGGAGCGTACAAATTTGAGCAGGACTTTCGCACAGTATGCATTTTTGGCTTCTATACACTTAGGATATGGTAGTGAAGTCTCATGTAACTTGAAAGATTGTAAGATAAAGGCTGAAAGTAATTTCAGTCTCTGACTTAGCCTCTGAAAAGTCTAGTGTCCTAAATTGAGCTCAAGTTTAATATGAGCTAGAAATAAGCCCACATCTGTAAACACAGATACTTACTATTTTAAGATTGTGCAGCTTTGCTGTGACTCCAGAATTATTCATTTTAATTTCCATTAAATATGCTTTTACAAGACTTGAATAGTCATTAGACTTAAGTCAACTCTGCAACCTACCTTAACTTTATTTTTTCCATTGCTGTCTATTCATGAGCTTAATATTTGTTTCATACTTGCCTGGTTGATTAAGGTTCATTTATAACTTGTATTGCTGTGATTTGGTTAAGATTCCACTGAACTAAGTGGTAAATTAACTGCAAATGACTTGCTTGTCTAGATTCATCGTAAGAAGGTGTGTTTCATTATAAGTGGAATACAGGTGTAGATAATATATTTATATCTTGATTGTATGTTAACTTTTTCAAGCCCAGGTTATACAATATATTTATCAAACAACCAAAGATTGAGGGATCTGGTGCAGGTCCAGTGGTGCAGTGACCCAACTAAAAGATTATCATGCTGCTCCTTCCTGGCTCTTGTGAGGAAGTCAGCATTTTCTCTTTTTCCCTTGACCCCTTATCTTTTCCGGATGTTGTGAGGCACTCTGGGCCTGATCCAAAACCCAAGTGCAGTTTTGGGGAAATCTTTCCATTGGCATTGGCTCAGGACTTCTATTACTTCCTACCCAATGGGGTGAGGATGTGCATGAACCTTGTTAACACATTGCTAAGCACTACACTTAAATAGCACAGGGAGCATTCCACTCTGCACAATACAGATATATGTGGGAGAGTAGGAACCCTCTTGTGATCTGCACTCCACTCCTTCTGCCACCATTCAGAGCAAGGAGGGGTACTGAATGCACTGGTGAGTGCATTTTTCTAGCCCGGAGTATAAAAACATTAGATCTCTTTGGCTCTTTCATAATTTTATTTCCTTTAACAGATGGGTGACCTTCAACTTTGCAAACTAGATGAACTTGACTGCCTTATTAAAGGAGTTTTGTACATTGACTCAGTTGGATTCAATGGACATTCAGAGTGCTACTACTTTGAAAACCCAACTGATTGTGAAAAATGTCAGAAGCTCCCATTCAACTTGGAGAATCCATATCCTCTCCTCTTGGTGAACATTGGCTCAGGGGTCAGCATCTTGGCTGTGTATTCCAAAGACAATTATAAGCGGGTAACTGGGACCAGGTAAGATCTATAAATAATGTGATTACCTTTAAGAGCATAGTCTTGGAGCTTGGCCTATACTCATGTGGTAAAAGATAGATCACATCTTCATGGACAAGTTGCTTTAAAAATGACTCTTGTCTGACCGAGCTCTTTGTTGCAACATAATATAGTACCTCCTCATTCCCACCCCCAGCAAGCAAAGGTCTTTTTTGTGGTCTGGATGGCATGTCACAATCGTCTCTTACCACAGTCAGCCTCTTCAGAAAGGCCAGTTCTTGACCTGTTCATCCTTCTACTACTGCAAGAAACTGTTTTTTTCGTCAGAGGAGTGTAAATCATATTTTGGAAACAACCCAGGTATGCTCAAATAGATGAATTTTTAATGTGATCGCTTTAATTCCATTATTCAGGGTTTGGATTTTGACTTTTTTAAAAGATGTACTACCCATTATGAATGGTGGGATGGTGTTCATAGTTGTAGTCAGGTCTGAAAGAATAATATAGCCACGTATTATACAGCAGAGCCCAAGAGATCTGTGCATGTGAACTTTCTTGGACTTCAGGAATATTGTTGTTACAAAAAAAGTACAGACTAGGAGTGCGCAGTGCACCTCAGGAAGGAAAGTTTTATTATGCGTCTTTGCCAGCATGTGTATTCAATGATTCAGCAGAACGTACTTTTTCCAGGCTTTGAACAATTAGACCCAAGTTCTGCAGTGAATTCCATATGGGCATACCCTTGCAGATGCATGGAGCTCATTACAGGTTGACATCTTACATTGTACATAGCTGCTTATTCAACACTGTGTAGTGAATATTGTAAGCAGAGAAAAACCACTTCTGGTTTAAGCAATAACTCTGTGGGCTGTGAAGTTACCCTAAGGAAGCAGATTTAAATGTGGTAAGAAAGGAGACTTAAATCTGATTCCTCTTTCTAGATTTCCAACGAGAAGGAAATTATAAAATGCTTGGGCAGCCCAGCTAATTCTTGGTATTCAGAGGAGTTTAGCTACATAACTTAATTAAAAAACAAAAACCAGTCCTTTTTTCTCCCTCTCTTCAAAATGAGAGGTAGAAAATATTGCTTTTGTTTTGTTTTGTTAGTCTTGGAGGAGGAACGTTTTTTGGTCTCTGCTGTCTTCTTACTGGCTGTTCCACCTTTGAAGAGGCTCTTGAAATGGCATCCCTTGGAGACAGCACAAAAGTGGATAAACTGGTGCGGGACATCTATGGAGGGGATTATGAGAGATTTGGACTGCCAGGCTGGGCTGTAGCATCCAGGTAAAGATATACCTTGGGTTTTTGAGGATGAGTATAATGTGCCTGAATTAAAAACTGGGGCAGCAAGGGTGTGTTTTTGTGTGGAACTGGCACTGCGGAGAGTAGACTCACCGTTCATGCACCCCCATGGCTGGGCATAGCATAGTAGGCTCTCTTCTCTAGCGCGCCCTACTGACAGCCTCTCCAGCCCTGCATTGGTGTGCTACCTCTTGTAACTCATGTAACTTTTGGTTACCCTGGAAGGAGTGGCACTAAAAGTCCAACAAACAATAGTCCCATGACCTCAAGTTCTGACTCAGTAGTCCTTCCACTCCCTGGTCTCTGGAGTCTTTACACTACTTTTTCTGGTGGCCAGAAGGGGAATCCAGGCCTTTCCTCTTCTCTGGGTTCCATCCTAGGGACGCTGCATTAAGCAGGCAAGGTCTGTCTACTCAAGGCCCATTCTTCCACCCTGGACTACTTTTTGCCTTGGACATCTGCAGGCCTCCCCACAAGTCAGTTCCTGGGCTCCCTGTTCATCTGTGTTCCTCTCAGGCTTCCTAGGGTCTTGTAATTCAACCTTACTTCAGGACTGTGGCCCTGGAATTCTCCAACAAATCCCAAACCAAAAGGACAAACTTAAAGCATTTCTGCCCTTCCCAGATTTGAACTTTATTCCTTCCCAGGTCTGCCCCAATACTGTGCTCCTCAAATGAACACCAACACCCAAGGGCATCCTCCTGGAGTCTTGTCTATTTTGAAACCCACCATAGGAGGTAACTCTCCTCCTGTGGTTTTTCCTGATTCTCTTGCTTCACCTCAGTCAGACCATTGTCCCATTCTGGGTCTCTTGCTAACTGATCTTTCTCTGTCCTTTTAAGGAAACCTGACTCGTTTCCAGTGGACCTGCTAATTCACCTAGTTAACCTTGAATCGAGCTCTCAGGCTCTTGTTAACCCTCTCAGTACTGTTGTGGGGTTTATACCCCATCACAATAACATAAGTCTATTTTAGACAAACATTAATTGTGATTCATTGTTACTGGATTTTAGTAATAGAGGTTGTAACTACATGATTGGAATATTACATAATTCCATTAAAAATGGTATCATGCATTCATTTTGGAATTGCGACATTGCTACATGCTGATGCTGCATAGTTTCCTGTAAATGGACACTTAACTCTAGAATTTTTTGCACAGCTTTGGGAATATGATGAGCAAGGAGAAGAGAGAGTCTGTCAGTAAAGAGGACCTGGCAAGAGCAACTTTAATAACCATCACCAATAACATTGGCTCCATAGCACGGATGTGTGCACTTAATGAGGTATTGAGAAATATGGAAAACAGCATATAACCTCTTTTTTTCTGAGACACACATTTAAATCAATTACTCATGTGTGCTACCAGTCTGCAGTATCTTGTTTTCAATTCTGTAGAAGCACCTTCATGCATACCTGTCCAGATGCTCCAGTTTAAATTGTAACCGTAGATTTCCCTTCCTCACCTGCCCATCTGGTCTAGTCCTATCCTATTTCCTAGAACTGGAAGGGACCTTGAAAGGTCATCGAGTCCAGCCCCCTGCCTTCACTAGCAGGACCAAGTACTGATTTTGCCCCAGATCCCTAAGTGGCCCCCTCAAGGATTGAACTCACAACCCTGGGTTTAGCAGGCAAATGCTCAAACCACTCAAATAGTAGCTCTACAATTCAAAGCACTGTAAAAAAAAAAAAAATAATAATAATAACGTGATGTGTTGTCATTTATCGATCCAGTCCATTTACCTTATGATTCAGGAGGTAAATTGCTTTTCTGGGAGAGTTGCGGGAACTGTGGAACAGCAGTGTGTGTTTTAGTCTCCTGGAACTGCAGGTAGAAAGTGATCAGCAATATCCTGTTTCTTCTCCGGCACAAAATTATCGTATCTTGTCACTGCTAGGAATCCAAACTAAGTGCATGAGTGGAAAAGAGAGCGACACCTGCTGAAAGCGGACCATCTGTCTGTCATTCATTCTAGTTACTCTTGCATTTTTAAGCTCACACAATGCCCCTTAGTGGGGCTGTCTCCCTGAGCTCTGTGCTTTCAGCTTCTTTATAGTGCTGCCTTGTTGCATTCATGTCAAGCAGCATTGTACAGGGCTATGAAAGAACTGAGACCCGTTCTTCGCTGTAGTTGGAACAGGATTGAGTCCATCAGGTTGAAGCCTACTTCTAACTTTCATAGTTCTTATCAGCATACAGTTAGTATTCTGCACTAGGGCAAGGGCAATAAATGTACAAGGCACTATCTAAAATGGCAGGCAGAAACAGTCCTGCCCATGGTATGTTCATTCCCGTTGTCCCACCATGTGTCCCGATTCCTGCATGAATATAGAATCTAATGAAGACAAGGCACTGAACAATTCAGGTACAGGAAGATGTGGTGAACTCATTGGTGTGGAGAACACCATGTGAAGGTGTCACATTCTGGGGTACAATCCGCACCAGTGAGGAGTTGTCACTGCTTCCCTTGTAATCGGGGTGTCTCACAATGCTTTGCTTTTGCCGCTCTCACCGTGGACCACTCACAAACAGCCTAGCAGCGTGCAAGTCACGCCCTGAGTGTGTCTGTATAGCTCTGACCCCAGCAGCCTGCCAGCAACGCATGAGCCACACTCTGATGTCCAGCAGCCTTGGTTACTCTTTGCAGGGTGACCACAACACACTCCCAGTCCCAAATTTTCCCTGAAAGCATTTGTTCTGCCCTCTCCTGGACAGTTCAGATATCATAGTTTCATTACCCCTGTGAGGGGTCAATATCCAGCAGACTACTATAAATGGTGTTACCAAATAGCTCAGTTTAAACACAACACTTGATTATCTTTAGTTTATTTAACTACAAAGAGAGATTTTAAATGAGTACAAGTACGAGGTCTTAAAGTCAGAAATGATAAAGAGAGAAATAAAGAAAACGCTTTCTAGTAACTATGACTTAACAAACTAGACTTGGTTCAAGGTAAAATCCTTACCACATGGTCCCAGGAACAGGGCTAACCAATTTCTCAGGTCAGAACCTTTCCCAAAGGCTGGTTCTTTTGTCTCTTGGGTGAAAGAGAGCAAGAGAGAGAAAGAAAAAGAGAAATCATGGGGTGATTTTTGCCCCTCACTCTTATAATCAAGTTACCCATGGAAGTGCATTTTCCTGAGGGTTACCTCTAGTTAAAGTTCTTCCCACTGTGAGGATGGAGAGTGTTCTGATGAAAAAGGTTCCATGTTGTTGGTTAAAATGCAGCTAGATCTGTTCCTGCCCCTCTCCATTGCCAAAGAATGGCCACTTGACTTGTGATTGCCAGTGAGCTTTGATGACACCTGATTGGCCTTTGTCTTTGAGAAACAGGTTTACCCCCTTCCCAGAGTTTTCTGGTAAACACATTTCAGTCATAATTTCAGTTTTATGTTCATAACTTTACATATAACATTGCTACACACATATCACCATGATATTCTTGACCAATGAGTTACTAGTTTTCAAATGATACCTCACAAAGCATATTTTGTATAAAGATTATTACAATGGTATATAGGGTGTAACTACAGGGGTGCATTCCGTCACAGAAGAATGCATGGAAGAACAGGTTTGAAGGACCAGAGATGGTGCTCAATCATGATGTTTCTGTCACTTTGGAACCTTAAAATTCTATATTGTTTGAAGGACCAAGAAGCTGCAGAGCTCCCTGGACCAAGTAGGGAAAACCTCTTCTTTTCAAGAGTATAGTTATTAAAATGTGGATGGAGATTGTTTAAACCCAAAATGTCACTTTGCAGAATCAGTGATGATGTATCCGCTTCACTGCATAAGGTCACTTAAACATTTGGATTGTTCTGATTATTGGTTTCTTGATCTTCATGCTGGTAGTGGGTGTGGAAGAAGCATGCTCTGCACTTCTAGTTTGTGGGACAAAAGGCAGTGTAGGAGGAGGAGTACCCTTCAATGTTCAACAGTATCCCTCTAGCCCAGTGGTTCTCAAACTTTAGCAAACAGAGGACCCCCATTTTGATTTAATTTTTTTTGGGGACACCCAAGCCTCCCTGCTCAGCCCGTGCCCTGCCCCTTCCCTGGGGCCGTGCCCCTGCCCCACCCCTTCTCCAAGGCCCCGCCCCATGCTCACTCCATCCCCCCTCCCTCCATCGCTCCCTCTCCCCCACCCTCACTCACTTTCACCAGGCTGGGGCAGGGGATTGGGGTGAAGGAGGGGGTGCAGGCTCTGGGAGGGAGTTTGGGTTTGGACTTTGGGCTGGGGCAGGGGGTTGGGGTGCAGGAGAGGGTGAGGCGTGTGGTGCTTACCTCGGGACGCTCCCAGAAGCGACCAGCACATCCCTCTGGCTGCAGTTTCTAGGCGGAGGGCCAGGGGGTCTCTGTGTGCTGCCCCTGTCCACAGGCACCGCCCCTGCACCTCCTATTGGCCTCCGTTCCCGGCCTATGGGAGCTGCGGAGTCAGCTGGGCGGAGAGAGTGCTTGGAGACCTCCCCTGCGGGACGTGCCCGCCGCTTCCGGGAGCAGCGGGGAGTCAGGACAGGTAAGCCTGTTCCCCAGCGTGCTGGAGGCACACCTAGGAGGGAGGGAGAGGAGTTTCTCAGCGGGGCCTACGAACCCCAGTTTCAGAAACGCTGCTCTAGCCAGCTGAAGGACTGGCATTGTTATTCCACAAGGGATTCCTTTCAGACTCGTTAGCCAGAAAACTTATGGCTGCAACTCAGGGTCTAGAGAGTGGGTATAAAGGGGTGTGAAAGGGACTCTGGAAAAGAACCTACCCTGAAATAACCTGGATGCTGTGCTTTTAACATAAACTTTATCAACACCCCTTATATTTGGATGTATTTTTGAGATCCTATTTGACACTTTTCAGCAATCACTGTTCATCCTCTCCCCTTCAATGCATTCTCCGTCTCCTCTCTTCCAGTATCTTGAACACCTCAACATGCCTCTTGATTTCATCCCCCTCTAGTTCCTCTTGTTCCACCACACTGCTGCAAGACCCCAGTCTGCTTAGTACTTCATTCTTTCTCAGTTGCAGTTCTGTTCTGTTGGATTTGATTGGAGTTTTCCTAATGAGGATCTAAATACAGAAAGCTGCAAATACATCACGAGTCTTATCTCAGCCCCAGACACCCCTCCCCTCACTCAGACAACCATCCTCCATCTAACCATCCTTTCTTGCATGTCTGCTCTCTCCCTTGGTATGAATAAAGGAATGAAGAGTGCTGTGAAGTTCAGTAGTCAGACTTTATTCAGTTTAACAAATACTGGCAACTTTAACTTGGCTTTTAGCTGACTTTTACTGCTCTCAGTCAGAAGCCATATTTGAAAAGCTTCATGTATCCTCATAATGAAATGCGAGAAGTGTAATATATGGATTCTCTTTCATTGTTGTGAAGATTAAATGGAATTCAGCTTAAAGATTCTCATATTTTTTTTTTTTTTTTTTTTTTATGTTTGCAGAACATTAATCGGGTGGTTTTTGTTGGCAATTTCTTGCGGATCAATACAATCTCAATGAGGCTTCTAGCATATGCTCTGGATTATTGGTCCAAGGGGCAGTTGAAGGCACTTTTCTTGGAACATGAGGTGAAGTTACTGTTTAAATCCATTTTACCTTGTCAAAACTGAAGACATTTTTATTTAAAATTATCTGATTATAACATACCAGTGTTGAGTTTCTTGGCATTGGCAACATACATTTTGCAGCCAGTTCTATGCATTTGTTACTATAGCCACAGTTATTGCAGAACTTCCAGTTCTAGGATGCTATCCATGTAACATTTATTGTTTCAGAAGTTAAAAATGCAAACTTTATCTACTTTGCTAGCTTAGTAATAGCTTGCCAACTTCTACTTCTGAAAACTTTTCACCTGCATATCTAACAATGTAATTTAAAAAAAAAAATTGTTTCCTTGTATAAACAGTACAACTAGGAGTTGTAATAACTTTACATACAGTACTTGGGAATAGTTTTCTTCTGTTTTCTTTTATAACCAGTATTTTGAAATGGTATTAATATTTTTAATATTCCTGTCTTAGTATTCGTGTCAAACATATTTAAACCTTGAATCTGTTTAATAGAAACTCTCGCCTTTTTCTTTATAGGGTTATTTTGGAGCAGTTGGTGCTTTTCTGGAGCTTTTGAATTCAGCCTGAGTCATTACTGATCCTGCACATTCGACATAAGTTGCAGGAGCTTCTACCCTATTGGAACTCCTACATTTATTTAGCTTTTTTTAAAGCATCTGTTAAGTGACTATTACAGTAATTGTACATGATTTAATCATTGCGGAAAAGGAAAGGACAAATGAATTTTTTGTAAACAGCTAAAATTAATCCTGAATCTTAACGTAGATTAGTTAATAATAAGAAATATATATCTTCTGAGCAGCAGTTTTTATTCTAATCTGCTACATGTTTTGAGATAGTGTGGGAAGGTGCGAGATAGAGAGAGCATAAGTCTCACATTAAGCTATCCTGTAAAGCCTTTTTTTAAAATGCCAAGTGTCTACTTTGGTAACTATTTTATATTTCACTTGCGATGATTGTATATATGGGATTGAAGGACTTTAAGTATTTGTGGTAGTATTGAATAGTGTATTGTTTATGTATGACAATTATTAAAACAGAACCCAGAAATATAAAAACTAACCTTTTTCCAAAAGTCCTTGTTTTTTGCCCTCTTCTGAACACTATAGTGGCCTGTAAAAACATCATCATACAATCAGTAATGGCTTATTTTCTGGCAAGACAGTCACTGTGCATATACACTGTTAGAGAAACAAGAAGTAAGGATTAAATCTTTTTTGGGTCTTGCTTTCTGTAAAACTGCATAGCAACTTCCTGTCATCTGCACCCTGGTGACTGCTGACCAGACCTCTGGATGTGAGGGTCAAACCCTTATAATGTAGTTTTAGCAACATGCAGCAGATATCTCACTTGAAATCCACTAAGAGTAAATTTAAGAATATTTATAACTAGTGTGTGTTACTTTCTTTTTTTTTTAATTTTTCTTTTTTTAAATAATTGTATGTAACTGTACCAAAAATGATGATAATGCTATTCCTGATATACTCAGGCTGTTCTGTATAACTTAATGTTCTATAGATGTTTGTTGTTAGCTAGTTACTAAACATAATCCAGATTCAGGAGGAAAATCAATCTTCTCTCCACATCAGCATTCGTGTCTCTGTCTGTCTGTCTGTCTGTCTGTCTCCCTGGTGTGTGCATTCCTGCAGAACCCAAACACTTCATTGCCATGGTTTCAGATTCTCTAAGACATTGACCTTTCAAGATGTTAAACTAGAAGATGTTGTGTGGGAGATCATTCCTTCCATGCACAATAGGTTAAGCAACATTGGCAATAGGCTACCCTTAAAAGAGCTGTGTTTGAAACAAGCATGTGGCTCATAAACCAGCCTTTTGTCTGGAGTAATTGTCAGGTTCCAGGGTCCCTCACGTCCTTGGAGCTATAGTCTTGGGCTACTAATCTGAACAAAATGTCCACTGGGAGGGTATAAATTCTCTCCCTCCTCTATGGGTGATACTAGATATTTCAGTATAATTTGACTGCAGGGGGTTGGAAGCAGTTGCTCCTTAAAAGCTACTGCATCTTAACTAGTTAACTGATGTTAACTAGTGTTGCTGCTGCAGAGAGTTTTCTGGAGAATGGTAATATGGCTTTTCTGCTGAGTAGCTCAACTAGATGTAGAAACCCAGTTCACAGCAGGAAGATTGAATACAATTTCTGGTGAATACAGGGATAGATTCTCAGCTAGTGTAGATTGTCATAGCACCATTTGATTTCAGTTTACACCAGATGGGGAATCTGCCCCAGAGTCTTTAAATAACTTGTCCTTTTTAGGATTTAGTAGATTAATGCATCTTCCTCTTTATATTTGGGTTCATATTTGCAGTGGATCTCAAATGAAAGCTCTTTGGTTTTATATAGGCCCTGGTGGATATTTTTTGATCACGGCATAAAAAAACCACACGAGTCTGATAGTTTGACATGATTAGCAATCCTGAGCTGAAATAGTTCAGAATTAAGGTGTAGTAGCAGAGCTGTGGGACGGGTGGGAGCTGTTTTAGGGCTTGATCCTGCAATCTGCAGACATCACCTGCAAGGTACTGTGTGCCCCTTTACCTTCCACTACAATCTCTGAGAGCTGAGTGCTCACAGGAGGTGCTCTTCACCTTGCAGGATTGGTCCCACAGTGTGTCTGTACTACAAGCTTGGGATGAGAAATAACTGGGAATTGAGAGTGCCTGGGTTTTTCACAAGATCAGGTCATTTGTTTTATTTACTAAAGGCAGTGCTGTTAGCTGCATTGCTGTATGAAGCACTCAATGCCACCAGGTTTGTTGTAAAATAATGTATTTTTAGAACTTATATTCAAGGAATTCCAGCCTCAGCAATCTAGTTGCAGACAAAATTGACGATCGAACATCGGATGAGAGAATCTGGAACCTCTAAACCTCTTCAGCTATATTGGTACATATGAAGGACTGTACCATTCAAAAAAAAGAACAGGAGTACTTGTGGCACCTTAGAGACTAACAAATTTATTTGAGCATAAGCTTTCATGGGCTACAGCCCACTTCTTCGGATGCATAGAATGGAACATATATTGAGGAGATAGATAGATAGATAGATAGATATATACACACACATACAGAGAGCATGAAAAGGTGGGAGTTGGCTTACCAACTCTAAGAGGCCAATTAAGTAAGAGAAAAAAACTTTTGAAGTGATAATCAAGATAGCCCAGTACAGACAGTTTGATAAGAAGTGTGAGAATACTTGCATGTATCATTCAAGAGATTCAGCTGCTAGTTCTCCACTGTACACCAGAGTCCTTTTCACCTTTTCTGCAAAGAAGGCAATCTTCCCAAATAAGCGGAAAAATAAGTAACTACTTAGAAAAATTGCATTAGCTTTTTAAGTGTAATATTGCTAACTTAGATCATGCAGTGATCTGCGTTCAAAATTTGAATTAAGCTACTTTTGGAGGTGCACGTTTGAGGAGACAGTATTTCATGACTAGGATCTTGGATTTGTGCTTTATCATGATATCCCACTAAAGATCTAATAATACCAGATTGTTTTAGGAATAAGTCAGACTTCCTAACGTACCTAGTTCCAGATGTAGTAGAACTTAGATTGTAAGCTCCTTGGGGCAAGGGCTTTTTCTATGCCATGTTCTGTATAATACTCAGCAAATTTTTGATGCTCAGTGAATTTAGACAACTTCTGCAACTTGCTTGGTCACACAACCTCAACTGGAATTTCAGTCCTTGCTTCAGCTTTGGTCTCGAATCCAGATTAAATTCTTACTACCTTTATCTGTTAGGTTGAAGTCTACCCCTGTGCAGACCCTTTGTACCATTGAACCCCTTATTTTGAGGTATAAGATGCAATGAGCGAGTGTGGGCCCTCTGTGCATTGCTTAATGTGAGATTTAAATGATGCAAAGGGCGTCATTTGGAATCTCTGTGCAGAGGTGAATTCATACACTTAGTGTTTTAGCAGCAGGAACAAAGGACCTACACTGGACCTCTCCGAGATTAACGTACATACATGTTGGTTACAGGAAAGTGGCTTATCTTTCTATAGCAATTACTTGAAGCATGGTCATGAGTTAAAGGATGATGAAAGAAGCTATGTGACAATGCTTTCACATGGTCTTGTATACAAATGGAACCTGTGGAGGGAAGAGAAATGTACATAAATTCTGCAGTAAACTAACTGGCCTAAAACCAGGTCATGTGCCATGTTGCAGCTGTGCACATGCCAAACCTTGGAACTGAAACTGGAGTAAATAAGCCATCTAGTGTCTTGGAATCTCCCCTTTCTTGGCTGCTTTTCCCCCATTCACTCCACATACATGTATATGTAAGATGTCGTCTTTTTTGTTTGTTTTTTTGGTGGGTGGTTTTTTGTTTTTGTTTTTTAAAATAGAGCCTGAAGTGTGGTTTGTGATGTCTTTGCTTAAACACGGAACTCACCTATGTATTATTATTATTTTTTTGGGTAAAACTGTTTTAAATTTTTCTTTGGATAAAATATTAGTTATTTTTATATATTCGAGACTCTCATTCTTCTGTTGCCTATTTAAAGTCTCTCGTCCTGCTCAACAAATGAACCAATCTGAATAATTATCTAGAGCAGGGGTGGCCAACCTGTTGCTCCGGAGCCACATGTGGCTCTTCAGAAGTTAATATGTGGCTCCTTGTATAGGCACTGATTCTGGGGCTGGAGCTACAGGTGCCAACTTTCCAATGTGCTGGGGGGGTGCTCACTGCTTAACCCCTGGCTCTGCCACAGGCCCTGCCCCCACTCCACCCCTTTCCCTCCCCTCCCATGAGCCTGCAGTGCCTCACTCCTCCCACTTCCCCATGGAGTCTCCTCCATGCCACAAAACAGCTGATCGGGAGGTGCGGGGGAGGGAGGGGGAGGTGCTGATCGGTGGGGCTGCCAGTGGGCGGGAGGCACTGGGAGTGGGATGGGGGAGCTCATGCGGGGCTGCTGACGTATTACTGTGGCTCTTTGGCAATGTACATTGGTAAATTCTGGCTCCTCAGGCTCAGGTTGGCCACCCCTGATCTAGAGTACTAGGATGAGATGGACAGGTCTGACCTACTGAAAAGTTTTCTCCCCATTTAACTCTATTTTGACAACGCTTTTTCTTTTTATGGGATTGACTGTCATTAAGCCCTTTTAACTAAACACATCCATTTTGGTCATCATTGGAAATTAGCTATATTTGAAAGCAGGATACCTGGAGGAAAAGAATCCTATATTTACCCACTCCTTGTCTTGAGAAGCGATTCCAAACAGTAGCTTCCTCAGTCTGAGTCATTGCTTTTAAAAATATATTCAAGGCAAATGACGTTGGCAGCATCTACACAAGGCAAGGCATAGAAAGAAGCTGTTTTTTGTTGTCACAGAATGTGCAATCTATTTCTGTCTTGGTGTGGGAGGTTTTAAAGCAGGTACCTTCTCGCCAAGTGTTGAGATAAATATAAACTCCTAAAATATTAAGTTTAAATAAAACGCAGAGGCTAGTGTTATTCAATATCCCTTTTCACCATTTCTTGATAAAACAATGCCTTTTCGTCTTTATTGTCATGGAGAAGCACTGATTGCTGGGATAACACAGCTGATCTAATTCTGCTTCCAGCATTCCTAGTTAATTGGTTTTGGGGAATATTTAAAGCGCTGGCTTGCTTAAAGGGTTAAGGCACCAATTCAGCAAAGCACTTAAGCATTGTGATTAAGCCCCATTGAATTTAGTGGGTCTTGATGTACTAGGGTGTTTTGCTGAATGGAGATGGACTTAAGTATGTGCTTTACTGAATCTGGGTCTAACTCTGTACTTGCTTTTAAATCCCTATGTACTTCATACTTTAATGCTTTTTATTCAATGATATCAAAGTATTTTGCAAACAGTAACTGGCTCACAACACCCTGGGGGCCAGTAATATTGGGTGTCTTTCTAAAAGATATGTGAGCTTGATGCAGGAATCACTTGGTGAAATTCTGTGATCTGTGTTGTGCAGGCATCAGACTGGATGAGCATAAATGATCCATTTTGTCCTTAAAATGTATGAAGGGTATTGTAGCCTCTGGAGGGGAACCAAAACATCTCTTTAAGATGGGAAATGAAAAATATTCTACCAAATGGAAACTGCAGAAGTAATGTAGCTAGCCAGACTGTAACTGCTCGTAGTTGGCCAGGTTATGAGGTTTAATGCCCTCTACTATTTCATTGGCGTGCTGAATGATCTGTAATGTCAGGACTTTCATTTTCCCCTTATCTGAAAGCCATGGCCTCCAAGCAGCACAGTATCTACCATTGCCACCCTGAGGCACTGGGTTCAGTACAGACAGGAAATATTCCCTTTTATCACTTTACATTTTGGTCTCAGCCAGCCTAGATAGTGACTCTTAGCTTTTGAGATCTCAGAGCATTTTAGCACAATCCTTGAAACAGAGATTCTGCTTGGTATGAATGGTCTGTTTCTTTAGGGTGCCAAAGGACTTCCTGTCTTACTGCTTGTTCTTATTTTTGTATTTTCTCCTGCCTACTAATTTGATAACTTTCACCAGGTGTGATGCCAAAAACTTAATCATTCCTATACCTCAAACCCCTGTTCCT